TCTCTAAAGTTGTTTTAAAACGTTTGTCATACTACTTCTCACTATTTGTTTCTTCTTTTCTCAGTTTCAAGGTATAGTTTATACTAGAAATGATTGATTGGACTCAGTTTTTATCAGTCACATTTGTTATTTACAAGTTTTATTTACTACGGACTGTACTTTTTTTCCTTATTGCTGTTTATATTATATTTTAAAATACCAAAAGTTATGATCACACTGATTTATTATCATTTGAGGTTGTTTTTTGAAATGACCCTTCATGTTCTACTCACTATTTGCTCATTCTTTTTTGTATAGTTAATTTACCAAAAGTTACTGATCAGACAGTTCTTATCATTTGTGGTTGGTTTTAAATTTGTTACATGCAATACTGAATTCGCACTTTGTTTTTCTCCATTTTATAGTATAGTTTGAAATACAGCAAGTGACTTCACAGTCTCACGTTTTATCATTTCAAGTTGGTTATTAAAGTGATGTTTCATGTTCTACTAACTTCTATTTGTTTCTTCCTTTCTTAGTTTCTACCATTTTAACAGGAGTGACTGAATAGACGGCTCTAATCATTTGTGGCTGGTTTTGAAATGTTTCATGTAATACGACTTACTATTGGTTTCTTCTTTATTTTCATAGTATAATTTATACCAGGTCACACTCAATTCATATCATTTAAAGTTAGTTTGAAATTGATGTGTTATGAGCCAACAACTTATCACTATTTGTTTCCTCTTTATTTAATTTTTGAAGTATACTTTAAATTACCAGAAGTGACAATCTTACTGAGTTCATATCATGTAAGGTTGCAATTTCAAAGAATGTTTTTGTTCTACTCAATTTTTATTCTTTCCTTCTTTTCTGAGCTTCCTAGTGTAGTTTATACAAGGACTGACTGATCAGGAATTTTTTGTTATCTTTTTTATGTAGGTTTAACAATATTATATTCTGTGACTTCAATTTGTTTCTTTTTTCCTTTTAGTCATAGTGTGGTTTATACCTAGATTAACCAATTGCTTAAAGTCGTTTGAGGTTGTTTTAGAAATGTTTTTTTGCTCTCATTTTACATTTTTTCCTTTTCCCACTTTAATATGGTGTATACCTGATACAACTAATCATATTGTCGTGTGTGCTTCGTTTTAAATAGACATCTCATGTACTTTCAACTTCTCATTATTTTCTAGTTCTTTTTTTATTTTTATGGTAGAGTTAATACCAGGAGTCAGGGATGAGACAGCCATTTTTGATATTTTATGTACTACTAATTTCTCACTATTCGTTTCTTTATTTTTTAACTGTGGTGTATACCAGTAGTGTCTGATCAAAGTGAGTTCTTATTGTTTGAATTTGCATTTAAAGTGATTTTTCATGTAGTGCTACCTTCTCACTATGTATTACTTCTTTTCCTAGTTTCATAGTAAGGTGTGTATTCCAGAACTGACTAATGAACTTAGTTGTGATTATTTAAGGTTGGTTTAAAAATATTTTATGTACTTTTTGACTTAAGACTTTTGTTCTAAATTACCTGCATTGATTAAGTTTTATTCTTTAGGTTCTTTAAATATTGTTTTATGTTTCACTTCACAAATGTCTCTTGTCCAACTTTCATGTGTGTTGTATGCCTAAAGTGACTGATCAGACTGACTTTTCATCATTATAGGTCGGTTTTAAAATGATACTTAATGTATAATTGACTCTACTTGTTTCTTTGAATTTAAGGAGTCACTAATCAAACTTATCTTCAGTTCGTTTTTGAAGTTACGTTTAATGCTTTACTTTTCATCTGTTTCAATTTTTTAGTTTTCATATTATGTTGAATGCTATGAGTGACTGACAACACTGAGTTGTTATCTTTTAAGGTTGGTTTTATGAACATGCTTGCACTCACTTTGGATCTGTTCCTTCTATTTATATTATATACCAGGAGTGACTGATTTGACCGAGTTCTTATCATTAGATGTTCTACTTACCTCTCACTACCTGTTTCTTTTCTCTGTTTCGTACTATAGTTATGACAGGAGTGACTGATGATATCTAATGATTAATTTCATGGCTTAAGGTTGCTTTATGAAATGTTTCATGTTATATTATTCACTATTTGCTTCCTCTTAAGTCCTTAGAATAATTTAGACCTGGAGTGATTGATCTGACTGATTTCTTATGACATAATGTTAGACTTTTAACTTTTTAGGTTTTACTTTCTCAGTTTCATAGTGTAGTTTACACCAGTAGTGCCCGACCTGACTACAGTTGTTTTAAAAATGTTTCATGTACTTATAACTTCTCTATTTGCCTTTGTTAGTTTCATAGTATAATTCATACTATGAGTAACTGATCAGACTCAGTTTTTATTATTTTGATACTAATTTCTTCAATGTTTTATGACTGATCAGACTGGGTTATATTGTTTCAGTTTTTTATAATGATGCTTCATGTACTACTGACTTTTTTTCAGTTTCGTGGTATAGTTTGAATTTCAAAAAGTGACGGATCGGACTGAGTCCCTATTATTTCATGTTGGCTTTTTAACGATGTTTCACTTCCTACCATCTGTTTGTTTTGTGAGTTTCATAATACCAGGAGTGACTTTAAGACCGAGTTCTTATTATTTCTTCTGGTTTCAAAATGTTTTGTTGACTGCTCACATCTAACTACTTTTGTCAGTTATATACAACCGTTAATTGCATGAGTAACTGATCAGGTTTAAAACTACTTACTTTGCCCTATTTTTTCACTTTTGTAGCATCAAGACACTAATCAGGCTGAGTTCTTACCAATTGAGTTTGGTTTTTGAAATGATGTTTCACGTTTAGTTCTTTTGTCCTCAATTCTTACTTTAGTCTATGTAACCACAACTGATCACAGTTCTTATCATTTGTGGCTTGTTTGTAGGTGACGTTTTATACACCACTATTTTCTCAGTATTTTTGCTCATTTTACCTCTCTTTCACGGTATAGCTTTTACCGAAAGTGACTGATCAGTCTACTTAGTTGTTATTTGAGGTTAGTTTCAAAATAATGTGGTCCGGAATACTACTCACTACTTTTTCTTTTTTTCTCAAGTATAAAGTATACTTTAAAAGCACCAGAAGTGACTGAGATCAGACTGTTTTCTGATCACTTGACATTGGAATTTAAAACAATAGCTCATGTTCTACTCATTTGTCATTGGTTACTTAATTTCTCAGTTTCATTGTGTAGTTTGTACTAGAACTAACTAATCAGACAGAGTCTTACCATTTGAGGTAAGTTTTAAAATGAAGATTTATGTACTTGTTACAACTATTTGTTTCTTCATTCCTCCAAGTCATAGTGTAGTTTATATCTGGATTAAGGGAATGCTTAAAGTCATTTAAGGTTGCTTCTAGGAATGTTTTTATTCGTCTCACTTCACATTTCTTTCTTCTAAAAAGTTTGATGTGGTGTTCATCATTTGCTCTTTATTTTAAATTGATGTTTGCCGTACTTCTGACTTCTCACTAATTACTACTTATTCAATTTTACAATAAAGTTTATAATAGAACTCAGTTATAAGACAGTTATTATTTGACCCTGGTGTTACATGATGCTAAAAGTACTACTAATTTCTTACTATTTGTGTTTCATTTCTGTTTCATACTGTGGTATATACCAAGAACGACTGATCAGACAGTTCTTATTGTTTGATGTTGGTTTTTAAACAATTTCCTGTACTACTAACTTCTCACTATATCCTTTACTTAGTTTCATAGTAAGGTGTATCCAGAAGTTCCTGATGAAACTGAGTTCTGATCATTTAAGGTAGGTTTCTCTACTTATTGACTTCTATTTGTCTCTTTGTTTATAAATTTCATGTAGTTTTAGTTCACACCTGGGTTTACTAAGTTTTATTTTAGGTTGTTCCTTAAAAAATTTTCTGTTCTACTGTTTCTTTTTTTCCCATTTTCATGTGTGGTGTATACTAAAGTGACTCATCAGATTGGGTTTTCATCAGTTTATGTAGGTTTAATGTAATTCTTAATGTACTTTTGACATTTCTCTATTTGTTTCTTTTTTGCATTCATTACTAGTACACTTTATACTAGGAGTCTCTGATTAAACTTATTTTCATAAGTTTTTCAAACTATCCAATTTCTCAGTTTCATATGTTGATACTATGAGTGACTGCTCACACTGAGTTCCTATATTGGAGATTTGTTTTATAAAAATGCTTGCACTCACTTTGGATCTGCTGCTTCTATTTATGGTTTATACCAGGAATAACTTGAGTGAGTGCTAGTCATTAGATGTTCTACTTACCTCTCACAATCTTTTTATTACTCATTTTCATACTATAGTTTATAGCAGGAGTGACTAGTGAGATCAAATTCTTATTGATTTTGTCGTTTTAAGATTGGTTACTGAAATGTTTAATGTTCTACTCACTGTTTGCTTTTTTTAGGTCCTTAGCATGGTTTAGACCAGGATTGACTAATCTGACTGAGTTTTTATTATGTGGTTTTAGTTTTTGTAATGTTTCGTTTACACAGACTTCTTTTTGTTTCTTAACATCTCAGTTTCACAGTCTAGTTTATAATAGTAGTGCCTACCCTGACTACATTCTCATTTTGCAGTTGTGTACTTACATTATGTTTCATGTGCTACTTACAATACTCTATTTGCACCTTTTAGTTTCATGGTATAGTTTATACTATGAGTTACTGATAAGACTAAGTTTTTTTCATCATTTGAGTTTTTTAAGATGATACTTTATGTACTACTGGCTTACTTTTTTCAGTTTCATTGTATAGTTGAAAAGACGAGAAGTGACTGATCAGACTGAGTGCTTATTATTTCAAGTTGGTTTTGAAATGATTTTCTACTTCTTACTATTCATTTATTTCCTCAGTTTTATTTAGTTTATACCAGGAGTAACTTCAGACCAAATTTTTATTATTTATGTTTGTTTTACAATCATGCTTTATTTACTGCTCTCTTCTCACGACTTTTCTAAGTTTCATAGTATAGTCTATTGCAAGAGAGACTGATCAGACTCAATTGTTATTGAGTGATTTTTATCTTTCAAATGATGTAACATTTACTACTGACTTTGCACTATTTGTTTCCTTTTTTTCACTTACATGGTATATTTAAAATACCAGAAGTGACTTATCAGACTGAGATTTTATCAAACTGAGGTGGATTTTTGAAATGATGTTTTACGTTTTACTAACTTCTTACTGTTTGTTTTTCTCAGTTTCATACATTAGTCTATACCGGAAGTAAGTGATGATACTGTTTTTATAATTTTTGATTAATTTGTGACATTTCATGCACTAATTTCTCAGTACTTCGCTCTTCTTTTCTCACTTTCACAGTTTACTTTTTACCAGACTTGACTGATCAGACTGTTATTATTGGACGTTAGTTGCATAATAATGTGTTATGAACTACAACTCACCAATTTCTTTTCTCAATTTCAAAGTATAAATCAAATTACCAGTATTATCTGATCATACTGAGTTCCTATTATTTGAGTTTTGAATCTAAATTAGCTTATAGCGGAAAGTTTTGTTACACAAATTTTCGTGGATATCGCATTTTTTCAAAATCAAGGAAAATAAAAAGTGCAAGCTTGATCTAATATCATTCAAGATGTCCAATAAGTTGAAAGACCACAAAAACTAAAGCCACGAAATTGATTTTTGAACAGATTGGCAAAATATTTGGGCCCCAAAAACTTTTCTACTCTATCGTAGCTCATGTTCTCAATTCTCATCTTGATTTTCTCTTTTCCCAGTTTCATTGTATGTGTAGTTTATATTTGGACAGACAAGTCTGTGTTCTTATCGTTTAAAGTATTTTCAAAGATGATTTTCTGTACTGCACCCTTTCATTTGTTGCTTCTTTCCTCAGAGTAATGCTCTAGTTTTTACCTAAGTTACAAAATTCGTCATTTAAGATTGTTTTTTTAAATGCTTCATTTTCCTAATAAATGTTATATTTGGGTTTTATATATCTTTTGTGTACTTTCGACTTCTTACTATTACTTATTCAGTTTCATGGTACAGTTTATACCATGATTCAGAGATCAGACAGTTTTTGTCATTCGACGTTGGTTTTAAATCGTTTTATGTAGTACTAATTTCTCACTATTTGTTTTCTTGTGACTTCATGGTATGGTTTATACAATGAGTGACTGATCAAACTCGGTTTTTATCATTTGAAGTTTTAAAACTACGTTTCATGAATTATTAACTTCTCTCTAATTGTTTCTTTTTTTCTCTTTCATAGTATTTTTTTACACCTGAAGTGAGTAATCAAACATTAATGTAAAATAATTTCATGTACTTTAGACTTCTAACTATTTGTTTCTTCATTTAAGATTCATGATGTAGTTTATACCTGAAATGACTCAGTTTCATCATTGGAAGTTGTTTTTAAATATTGTCTTGTTTATCTGAAGTAACTCATCAGACTGGATTTTTTATCATTTAAAGTTAGTTTTGATATGATGCTTAGTGTATTTTTTAGTTTTGACTTATTTGTTTCTTCGGTAGAGTTTATGCCTAGAGTCATCAAACTCATTTAAGGTCAGTTTTTAAACGATGTTTAGTCTTTGACTTTTCATTCGCTTCTTCTGTTTTCAGTTTCATTGCATGTATACTGTAAGTGGTCGATTAGACTGAATTCTTATCATTTGAGGTTAGTTTCATAATGATGTTTTAGTCGCTGCTCGCTTTTATCAGTTGCTTCTCATAGTGTACACCTTAAGTAACTGATTGGACGGAGTTTTAATCATGTGGTAAGTTTTTGAAATGTTTTGTTCTGCTTCTCACTACTTCTATTTCTTTTTCAGTTTTATAGTATAGTCAGTGATATATGAGATATAATTTTTTACTATTTATCATTTGAGGTTGGTTATTGAAATGTTTGATGTTTTACTTATCACCAATTCTTTCGTTTATAGCATGGTTTAAACTAGGAGTGACTGATCTGACTGATTTGTCATTATGTGCACAACGTTACCTTTTAAAGATTTTTCATTTTTACCTACTTTTAACTATTTTTTTCTCAATTTCATAGTATAGTATATACCAGTTCTGGCTGACCTGACATGTTCATATTATGTGGTTGTTTCAAATTGATGTCTCATGTACTACTTACATGTATTTGATTCATGGTTTCACAGTTTCTTGGTACAGTTTACTCCATGAGTGGCTGACTGAACAGATTGAGTTCACGTAGTTTAAAATTGGTCTAAAGATGTTTCATGTACTACTGGCTTTCTTCAAAATGTTTATCAATTAGAATACCAGAAGAAACTGGTTAGACTTAATTCTTATTATTTGACTGGTTTTGCAATGATGTTTAATGAAATGCTGACTGTTCACTCTTTGCTTCTTTTTTTCTCAGTTTATACCATAGTTTATACCAAGAGTGACTAAACAGAGTTTTTATCGTTTGGGGTAGGTTTTAACATAATAAGTTATGTATTTTGACACCTGATATGACTAATCATTCTATCATTTGGGCTTCGTTATATAAAATGTGATGTACTTTCGACTTCTCACTATTACTTACTGTTTCAGTTTCAAGATACTGTTTGGGTATGTCATCAGTCAGTCTGTGATCAGATTATTCTAATTTGATTAACTTTTAAAAAAATGTTTCTGGTACTACAAAATTTCCCCTATTTGTTTCTTTTCTTACTTTTATAGTACCGGGATTATCTGATCCGTCTTAGTTCCGATCAGTTGCAATTATTTTTAAAATATTGTGTCAACTGGTAATTTCTCACTAATTCTCTTTTTATTAGTTTCATAATGTTCACAAAAAGTGAGCAATCTTACATTTCAGTTACGTTTTAACTGATCAGACAGCTCTTATCATTTGTGGTTGGTTTTAAATTTGTTACATAAAATACTAATTTGTACTTTGTTTTTCTCCGTTTTATAGTATAGTTTGAAATACAAGAAGTGACTTACAGTCTCACTTCTATCCTTTTTGGTTGGTTATTAGTGATGTTTCATGTTCTACTAACTTCTGTTTGTTTCTGTTTCTTTCTTACTTTCTACCATTTTAAAAGGAGTGACTGAATAGACAGCTCAAATCATTTGTGGCTTGTTTTTAAATGTTTCATGTAATACGACATACTATTTGTTTCTACTTTTTTTACTTTCATATTATAGTTTATACCAGGTAGCACTCAATTCAAATCATTTAAAGTTAGTTTTAAATTAATGTTATGAGCCACCATCTTATTGCTATTTGTTCCTCTTTATTCAGTTTTAAAGGTATACTTTAAATTACCAGAAGTGACAATCTCACTGAGTTCAATCATGTAGGTTGCTATTTGAAACAAAATTGGTCTCAATTTTTATTCCTTTCTTCTTTTCTGAGCTTCCTGGTGTAGTTTATACAAGGATTGAAAGATCAGGATTGTTATTTTTCTAGGTAGTTTCAACAATACTTTATATTCTTTGACTTCAATTTGTTTCCTTTTTCCTTGTAGTTCATAGTGTGGTTTATACCTAGATTGACCAATTGCTTAAGTCGTTTGAGGTTGTTTTAGAAATGTTTATTTTCCTCTCATTTACATTTTCTTCCTTTTCCCACTTTGATATGGTGTATACCTGATGCAACTGATCATGTTATCATTTGTGCTTCGTTTTAAATAAATATTTTGTGTACTTTTAACTTTTCATTATTTCTACTTCTTTCTTCTTTTTTATGGTAGAGTTTATACCAGGAGTCAGTGATGAGACAGCTATTTTTTGACAATGATCTTGCAAAGATTTTGAATGTGCAAATTTCTCACTATTCGTTTCTTTATTTTTTAACTGGTGTATACCAGTAGTGACTGATCAAGGTGAGTTCTTACTGTTTGAAGTTGCATTTAAAGTTTTTTATGTACTGCTAACTTCTCTATTTATTTCTTTCTTTCCTAGTTTTATAGTAAGGTGTATATCAGAATTGACTAATGAACTCAGTTCTGATCATTTAAGGTTGGTTTTAAATTATTTTATGTACTTTAGACTTTCTTTTTCTAAATTACCTGCATTGATTAAGTTTTATTCTTTTAGGTTCTTTAAATATTGTTTTATGTTTCACTTCACATGTCTTTTTCCAACGTTTATGTGTGTTGTATGCCTAAAGTGACTCATCACACTGACTTTTCAACATTATAGGTCGGTTTTAAAATGATACATAATAATGTACAATTGACTTTTATGTACAAGTTTCTTTATGGCACAATTTATACCAGGAGTCACTGATCTCAAACTTATCTTAAGTTAGTTTTGAAGTTTCATTATATGTTGTAAGCGATGAGTGACTGATCACACTGAGTTTCTATCTTTTAAGGTTTGTTTTATCAACATGCTTGCACTCACTTTGAATCTGTTGCATCTATTTATGGTACATACCAGGAATGACTGACTTGACAGTTTTTATTATTAGATGTTTTACCTCTCACTGTTTCTTTTCTCAGTTTCATACTATAGTTATATCAGGAGTGACTGATGAGATCTAATTAATTTCATGGCTAAGTTTGCTTTCTGAAATGTTTCATTTTATACTATTTACTATTTGCTTCCTATTAGGTCCATAGTATAGTTAGACTGATTTTTTATGACGAAATGTTAGACTTTTAACTTTTTAGTTTTTACTTTCTCAGTTTCATAGTATAATTTACACCAGTAGTCCCGACCTGACTATGTTCTCATAATTTGCAGTCGTTTAATATATTTTATGCACTTATAACTTGTCTCTATTTGTCTTTTTTAGTTTCATAGCATAGTTCATACTATGAGTGACTGATCAGACTCAATTCTTATCATTTTGATTGTAGTTTTTGAATGTTTTATGACTGATCAGACTAGGTTTTATTGTTTTAGTTTCTTTTCATAATGATGCTTCACATGCTACTGACTTTTAGTTTCGTGGTATACGAAAAGTGACGGATCTGACTGAGTCCTTAGTACTTCATGTTGGTTTTAACAATGTTCCACTTCCTACTATTTGTTTTTTGTGAGTTGCATAATACCAGGAGTGACTTTTAAGACCGAGTTCTCATTATTTCTGTTGGTTTTAAAATGTTTTAAGTACTGCTCACATTTAACTACTTATGTTAGTTTCATACAATGGTTCATTGCATGAGTAATTGATCAGACTTCATTTTTATAAAGTGAGTTTGGTTTTAAAATCATGTAATATGTACTAATGACTTTGCTCTATTTCTATTCACTTTTATAGTACCTAAAGACATTAATCCGACTGAGTTCTTACCATTTGATTTTGGTGTTTGAAATCATGCATCATGTTCTGCTAATGGTTCACTATTTGCTCTTTTTCTTCAATTTCTTTAGTCTATGTTACCAGGAGGGATTGTACAGTTGTCATCATTTGTGGCTTGTTTGTAAGTGATGTTTTGTGCCCTACTATTTTCTCAGTAATTTTGGTCTTCTTTTCTCACTTTCACTGTATAGATTTACCAGAAATGACTGATCACAGTTACTATTTGAGGTTAGTTTGAAAATGTGTTCGGAATACTACTCACTATCATCAAATTCAGTTGAGTTTGACAGGATGTTTTTATCATCAAAACGTCACGTGTAGCCCCATCCACAGCAAATAAAATTACTAAAAATTTTATGATGCTCCTTTCTTCTTGTAACTTGTTTATTACCTTATTTAGGTCACTGTTAGCCCTACAATTGACATAAAGGATCTTTGTGCTTGCTATTACCTGAAGAATCAAGGTATGCAAAATTTTAATGGAGTTTCTGAGCGGCAGTTTTTAAGACAAATAACAGGCTTAAAGAGGTACAGCAGACTGAGTGAGACTTTCTTCTGGAGTGCAAAGTCTTGTTCAATTATATTTTGGCCTGATGTGCTCCTTTTGCTTTACTTGATTTTTAAATAATAAAAACATGATTATTGAAATATTTCATGAGATGCAAATGATATTCACAAAGCTTCATGTCATGAAACATGGCTGCTCCCTTTATGTTGACCGAAAGAACCTTTTCAGAACCTTCCAGAGTACCTAGTCTCGAAAATTGATACAGACTTTTAGAAAAACCCGTTTTGCAACTATAACAAGTTCCAAGTTTCTAGCATAAATAATAGAGAAATTATAAGAGTGGGTCAGTTGTCAAACTCAACTGAAACTGACTATACTTTTCTTCTTTTCTCAACTATAAAGTATAATTTAAAGTACCTGAAGTGACTGATCAGACTGACTTAACATTTAACGTTGGAATTAAAAACAAAAGCTCATGTTCTACTCAATTCCCATTGCTTACTTAATTTCTGTTTCATTGTGTAGTTTGTACTAGAACTAACTGATGAGACAGTTCTTACCATTTCAGGTATGTTTTAAAATGACAATTTATGTACTTCTTCCATTTGTTTCATTTTCCTCTGAGTCAGTGTAGATTATACCTGGTTTGACGGAATGCTTAAAGTAATTTAAGGTTGCTTTTAAGAATGTTTTGTTTTCCTCTCACTTCACATATCTTTCTTCTGCCAGTTTCATATCTTGAATACACCTTAAGGTTACTTTTAAATCCGTGTACTATTAATTGCAAATTTTGCGTTTGGGTTAAAAATTGCAATTATTATTATGCGCAATTATTGATAGTGAGTTTATGATGATATAACTAGTAGTAATAATTACTTAATCGCAATCTTTAATAACAGGAAAATTTACCTTAAGCTAAAATTGTAAAATTTAGCACCTGCAATTAAACGTCACTCTAAGGTACCTGATGCGACTAATCGTTTCATCATTTGGGCTTTGTTTTAGATTGATGTTGAATGTACTTTCGATTTCTCATTGCTACTGTTATTCAGTTTTATGGTAGAATTTATGATAGGAGTGAGTTATAAGACAATTATTATTTGACACTGGGTCTTACATGATGCGAAAAGTACCACTAATTTTTTATCATTTGTTTCTTCATTTCTCAGTTTTATACTTTGGTGTATACCAGGAGCGACTGATCACACAGTTGTTAATGTTTGACGTTTGTTTTTAAACAATTTCCTGTACTACTAACTTCTTACTATATATCCATTTCTTAGTTTCAGAGTAAGGTGTATCCAGAAGTGACAGATCAAATTGTGTTCTGATCATTTATGGTTGGTTTTAAAATATTTCTTGTACTTTGTGACTTATATTTGTTTCTTTTGCTTATAAATTTCATGTAGTTTTAGTTCATACCTGGGTTGATTTAGTTTTATTCTCTTAGGTTGTTCTTTAAATATTTTTTAAGTTCCACTTCACTCATGTTTCTTATTTCCCCATTTTCATTTGAGGTGTATACATAAAGTAACTCATCAGACTGGGTGGGTTTTCATCATTTATGTCCATTTTAATATAAGTCTTAATTTACTTTTGACTTATCTTTACTTGTTTCTTCTTTGAATTCATGGTACCCTTTATACTAGGAGTCTCAGACAAAATTAATTTCATAATAGTTCTAGAAATTATGTTTAATGCTAGACTTACTTTTTTCTGTTTCTTCATTTCTCAGTTTCATATGTTGTATACTATGAGTGACTGTTTACACCGAGTTCCTATCATTTGAAATTTGTCTTACAAAGATGCTTGCTCTCATTTTGGATCTGTTGCTTCTATTTATTGTAAATACCAGGAGTCAGTTATTCGACCGAGTTCTAGTCATTAGATGTTCCACTTACCTCTCAATCTTTTTCTTCACTCAGTTTCAAGCTATAGTTTGTACCAGGAGTAACTGATGAGATCTAATTTGTATTAATTTTGTCATTTTAAGATTTGTTACTGAAATGTTTAATGTTCCACTCATTATTTGCTTTTTTAGGTCTTTAGCATGGTTTAGACCAGGAATGAGTGATCTGATTGAGTTTTTATCATCTGGTGTAAGTTTTAACAGTTTTGTTTATACAGACTTCTTTTTGTTTCTGAACATCTCAGTTTCACAGTCTAGTTTGTACTAGTAATGCCTGACATGACTGCATTCTCATATTTTGCAGTTCATTACTTACATGTTTTATGTACTACTTATAATACTCTATTTGCTTCTACCTTATAGTTTCATGGTACAGTTTATACCATGAGTGACTGATCAGACCGAGTTTTTGCCATTTGAGTTAGGTCTTAAAAATGATACTCTATGTACTGCTGACTCATAGTATAGTTGAAAATACGATAAGTGACAGATCAGACTGAGTGCTCATTATTTCAAGTCGGTTTTGAAATGATTTTTTACTTCTTAATATTCATTTCTTTTCTCAGTTTTATGATGTAGTTTATACCAGGAGTGACTTTTCAGACCAAGTTCTTATCATTGATGTGGGTTTTAAAATCTTATTATAATTGACAAAAGGTACGTTATGGCGAATAGGAAAATTACTCTGATAGCCTAAGAAATCTAACTTCCAGAGCTTAATTTATTATAAAATTAGTTTAGAGTATGCAATGCAAACAGTAACTGTCACATTTAGAAACAAATCTAACAGCACTCACAGGTTGATATTTTTTATTATAAAATTCGCCACAAGGTACCATTTGTCAATTATGGTCACAAATGATGCTTTACTTACTGCTCACTACTTCTTTTCTAAGTTTCATTTTATAGTTTATTGCTAGAGATTGATCACACTGCATTGTCATTAAGTGATTTTGGCTTTTAAATGATGTAACATGTACACTGACCTTGCACTATTTGTTTCCTTTCAATTACATAGTATCTTCAAAATACCTAAAGTGACTTATGCGACAGAGTTCTTATCATCTGAGGTTGGTTTTTAAAATGATTTGTCACGTTTTAGTACTAACTTCTTTCGGTTAGTTTTCCCCCCGGTTCATACCTTAGCACTACCGGAGTGATCATACAGTCCTTATCAATTTTGATTAATTTGTGACGTTCCACGCATTACTAATTTCTCAGTACTTTACTCTTTTTTCCTCACTTTCACAGCATAGTTTTTACCAGAATTGACTGATCAGACAGAGTTATTATTACTGAAAGTTGCAAAATAATGTGTTATGAACTACTACTCACCCATTTCTTTTCTCAATTTTAAAGTATAATTCAAATTACCAGTAATAACAGATGAGACTAAGTTCTTATCATTTCAGTTTCGAATTTAAATTAGAGTATAGTTTAAAATTTTGATGAAAAAATTTTGTAAATATTGCATTTTTTCACGATCAATTAAAATCTGTGAAAATTGATTCAATACCATTCAAGATGGCCAATAAGTTGAAAGACAACAAAAAGTAAAGCCACGAAATTGATTTTTAAACAGATCCACAAAATTTTTGGGCCAGGAGAATTTTCTACACTATTGTAGCTCATGTTCTACATTCTCAAATTGGTTTTTTGTTCACTGTGTGTGTAGTTTAAACTAGGACTGACCATCTGGGTTCTTATCACTTGAAGTAGGTTTTAAGATGATTTCCTGTACTTTTTTTTCTCTTCGTTGCTTCTTTCGACAGAGTCATGCTGTAGTTCTTTTAAAAACCTTAAGTGACAAAATTCTTCAAGTCATTTTAGATTTTTTCCATAAAATTCTTCATTTTCCTAATAATTCTTTCATTTGGGCTTTGTTCTATGCTTTGTGTACTTATACCATAATTTAGAGATCAGACAGTTCTTGTCATTCAACGTTGGCTTTTAAATTGTTTCATGTACTACTAATTTGTCACTATTTGTTTTTCTCCTCAATTCATAGCATAGTTAATACAAGGACTGATCAAACTCAGTTTTTATCATTTGAAGTTTTAAAATGATGTTTCATGAATAACTAACTTCTTTCACTTGTTTCTTTATTTCTGTTTTATAGTATGTTTACACCTGAAGTGAGTAATCAAACTTTATTGTAAAATAATATTCCATGTACTTTAGACTTCTAGCTATTTGTTTCTTTCTACTTTTAAGTTTCATAATGTACTTTATACCTGAACGGACTGAGTTTCATCATTGGCAGTTGTTTTTTAAAAGTAATGTTCCATGTCTCTCCATTTGTCTTTTTCCATTTTCATAGTGTCTTGTATATCTAAAGTAACTCAACACACTGGGTTTTTATCATTTGAAGTTAGTTTCAATATGATGCTTCGTGTAATTCTTAGTTTTGACTTATTTGTTTCTTAGGTAGAGTTTATACCAAGAGTCATGAATCATTTGTTTCTTAGGTAGAGTTTATACCAAGAGTCATGAATCAAACTTATTTGAGGTCAGTTTTTGAAACGATGTTTAGTGTTTGACTTACTTTTTATCTGTTTCTTCTGTTTTCAGTTTCATAACATGTATGCTGTAAGTGGCTGGTTAGACTTAATTCTTATGATTTGAGGTTGGTTTTATGATGTGTTATATGCTACTCATTTTTGATCTGTTGCTTCTCATAGTATACACCACAAGTAACTGATTGGACAGAGTTAAATTCTTTGTGGTAAGTGATTGAAATGTTTTGTTTTGCTTCTCACTATTTCTTGTTTTCTCAGTTTTATAGTATAGTTTATACCTGGAGTGATTCATAACATACAATTCGTTATAATTTTATATTAGAGGTTGTTTATTGAAATGTTTCATGTTCTACTTATCACTAATTCTTTCTTAGGTTTATAGTATGGTTCAACTTGGAGACTAATCTGACTGAATTCTTATTATGTGATGTTACTTCTTAAGGATACTCCATTTTCACTGACTTTTAACTATTTTTTTCTCAATTTCATAGTATAGTATGTACCAGTCCTGACTGACATGACTACATGTTCATATTATGTGGTTGTCTTAAATTGATGTCTCATGTACCACTTACATGTATTTAATTCATCATTTCACAGTTTCTTGGTACAGTTGATTGCGGTCTAACAATAATGTTTTACGTACTACTGGCTTTTTTCAATGTTTCTTCTTTCTCAGTTGCATAGCATCAATTACAGTTTCAGAAGAAACTGATCAGACTAAATTCTTATTATTTGACTTTGGTGTTGCAATGATGTTTATGAACTACTGACTTTTCACTCTGCTTCTTGTTTTCTCAGTTTCATACCATAGGTTATACCAAAAGTGACTAAACAGACTGAGTTCTTATCATTTGAGGTAGGTTTTAACATGATAATTTATGTATTCTGACATACCTGATGTAACTCATCATTCTATCATTTGGGCTTTGTTCTATAATGTCATGTACCTTCGACTTCCCACTATTTCTTACAATTAAGTTTAAAGATTGTATTTATGTATATCATCAGTCAGTCCGTGTTCGAATCATTTGACAAACTTTTTAAAATGTTTTTGGTACCACAAAATTTCCACTATTTGTTTTCTTTCTCACTATTATAGTACCAGGAGTAACTGATCCGTCTGAGTTCTGATCATTTGCAATTAGTTTTAAAAATTAATGATGTGTCAACTTAAATTCTCATTTTCATTTGTTTCACAGTATGATGTGCACCAAAAGTGAGCGATCTTACATTTAAGTTGTTTTTAAATGTTTTATGCATTTTGACTTCTATTTGTTTCTAAATTTTATGATGTAGTTTCTACCTCAAGTGACTGGGTTTAATAATTTGAGGCTTTTTCCACGTTTCATGTTTCATTCCACATTTTCATAGTTTGTTGGCAGATTTTTTATCATTTGAAGTTTGTTATGATGCTTAATGTACTTTAGACTTTTTTCACCAATTGTTTTTTTTTTCAAATACATGACAGTTTATGTAAAGAGAAACTAATTAACCTCGTTTGAGGCTGAATTTTGAGATGACTTTAAGTGTTTGACACACTTTTCATCTGTTGTTTTTCTAGTTTCATGTTGTGGTATATACCATGAGTGACTGATGACACTGTTCCTGTCATTTGAGGCTGCTTTTATAATGACGTTAATATACAACTCACTTTTGATTTGTTGCTCCTTTCATAGTATTCTTCATTTTCAAGATAATTTATTCATTGAGTTTTAACTAAAATAACCTAAGGAAATGAATCAGAACATTGTTGCAATGATGAGTACCACGCCCAATGGACCTTGTGCGTTGAACCTTCTAATTAACGCGCATCTCTCAACTGGAGTAAGATGGTGGATCTTTTGGTGAACAGGCAGGCTGAACATTTTCCTTTTCTATCAAGTCACCATTATCTTAGGAACCACTTTTATTTCTTTTTGTTTCATGACACTATTTCTCCTGTATGCTCTTTGGTTGTTGTTTAGGCTTTTTAAGCAGTTTTTATAGGCCTAATAACACGATGTCCAGAAATCTACAGTGCTGTACGGACCAGACTTAAAAAATAATGATATTCATAGTTCAATTAATTATTGTAATTATACTGATTATCAATAATTAAGTGTTGTCACAGTAACAAACAATGGCGCATTAATGTAAACAAAATAAAACTCCTGGATTCTACAAGGAGTTTCATGAAAATGAAAAAATAGTGGATGATGTAGGATTTGTGACAAGTAATGGTGTTCAAGATAGTGTTTATGAGGTGGAGAGGTTGGTTGAGAAAAGAATTAAGGAGGTAGGTACTTTGTAGGCTAGTATATTGTTAGTGATTGTACTGTCATACAGGGTCATACATGGTACTTGGTTCTGTGGAAGGGATACTCTAAAGAAGAATCATTATCGGTACCATCTTATTATGTCTCTTGCTATAAGATACACTGAACTGAGAACTGGGACCGGTCAACAGTTTTCTTGTTTTATTTGTAGGTTATATCATGAACCAGAACCAAGCTTCGGAGTACTATTAGATGACATAAGTAGCCTAAGATCAGATTTGCAGAATAGTCTAAATTCTGGTCATTTAAACTATCCATCACTTTTCATTGTCACTTATTCAATTTTTTTTGTAAGATATGGTACGGTCTGTTAAATCTAAACCAGGCAAGCTCTATTACAGGAGTGATTTCTCAATGACATTTTGAGAATGATTTTTTTAGTCATTATAACAAACATAGTGAAGGCTGCTAAGTTTTTTTTCCGATCTACATGTACAGCCATGTTGTCTTGCATATAAAGTCATTCAATTCTGACAAGTCATATAGTAACAGAAGTTTCACTGAGACCCTGACAGTTGGCTTAGTGAAACATTATACAGAGTGAACTGAATAACTTTTATGTTAGTATGATACACGAGATAACTGTGTGTGTGGATGTGTGTACTAATAGTTATAAAAAACTGAACTTATCACAGTGAAGACAGTATTTGTCTTGCTCTGTCGATCTATCTTCATCGGCTAGCATGCAAGGTAAAGCCAATTTCCTTCCCTTTTCTATTATGCCTTCTTTCCAGTAAGTTAAATCATGCTTGTTGTACTTTCACTTCTTTCTCTTGCTGTCATGTAGCTCTCTCTATTCGATGTCAGATGATGTCTCTGGGGGCATCACAGTGGTTACTGGAGAAGTAATGCTTTCTAGCTGTGTTGTTATTCTTCTCCTACAATGAAAATGAAAGGTTCCCTGATAAAAATGGTGGTATGACTACCTTGACTGGCAATTTTTTTTGTGCCCTTGAGGTGTCTCATCGAAGAAGGTACATGAAAGGCCAATACATGCATGTATGGCATCACATTGGACTTGCTGTAGCCATTGTATGGGAAGGTGATAAAGTCCCTAATCCACTGTATTGCCTATTGCATAAATTTATTGTATTAATTATTTTTATTGATGCTAGTTAATTTACTTTCCCTTGCACTTCATGTATTTCTTCCTCAGTTAGATTGGGTGTGCCAATGAGCTGATAGATATCTTTGAAATCCTGTAACGCAAATGTAACAATTGGAATTGTAATATACAAACAACCCAGTGTTTCATTAGTTTTCTTCCCAATTGCTCATTAAAAATTTCTGTAAACTTTGCTGGTAATTTATGCAGCAATTTCTTCCTGTCAATGCTGTGTAGTGATGTCTACTGCAGTTCATCTCTTTTACACTTGGAAGACCATATTTGTGCATAACACTATGCCACAACTATTAATTTTTTAACTCAGGCAGTTCCAATAAAATTACTTGGTTTATGAATCCAACCGACTCCAATTTTTGGAAAATTAAAATTAATTTAAATTTTCTAATGCGCATGCGCAGTACCACGTGATGGGTGTGGCTAGATTCAAAATGGCGCTAAATGTATTTGTTACTGTTAAAAGAGCAAGCTTCTCTATCTTAACCTTCCACCGTATGTCAAATCTCTGTGGCATCTCGTTAGAGCAGCCATTCATGTTAATTAAGCCTACACTCACAGAAGTTGCTAGAGTATCTTGATAGTTTGTTTTAAAAAGGTGTGGTTGACTAACAATTATTAAAGTTAATTAATGAGTAGTTAATTAATTTTATTGTTTATATTTTAATTTATTCCGACCGGCCTGCTCTATTTTAGAGAAAAAAATTCCGTAAAACAAGTAATTTAGTTTGAATTGCCTGAAGTGAAAATTACAAGAGATGTAATTGACTGTTACTAAATCTATATATCATGTGCTACATTTTGCAGCAATATCTCTTGAATCTTGTGCTTTTACAATCCAAATTAGATCTTGGATCAAGATATATGTGATTCTCAACATTAGGTGTGACTCATCAATTACCACCTACATGTATAATAGATCGTACATAATACTTTGATTGGCAAACCTGTCATATTAATTAATGGTTGATGGAGAACACCGAAAGACTGAATTAGCACAAGACACAAGTGAAGCAAGGGATTGAGCCTGGTTTATCTCATATTTTTCTGGTAGAACACTGATGTCAAATCTGTTGTGTTATCTTGTATAGCCAGTTATTGTAATTAATCATCTCACCTCATATCCTTTTTCATTGTACAATATCAGCAGGCATAATTAGCATTGGCTGCAATTAGTCGCAAAAGTAGTAGTAAAAACTGAGGTGTAGGTTACTAATAAATCACTACAATTATTCTAACCTTATAATCTCCAAAAAAATAATTAAATGCTGTACGACTTGCCTTCAACAGTTATTTGATTATTTGTGATTGTATCATTAATTTCTTTTAGGACTGGAGAAAACACTTTTTAATGTTTCATACTTTTCCTCTCCCCAAATCACAGCTAAGGTATGTGTACCTATTATTGTTTTAAAATTACTTTCATCATGTTTCATTACCTATGGTGGAAGAAGACTTGGGATCTAGCAAAGGGAATGAAAATGACAGCAGGATGAACAATGCTGATCTGTAAAAAGGAGCTCCATCACCAGATATCTTCAATTCAATTAGAGACTCCAACTCTTGACCAGCATGTATTAGTAAACAGCGTAATGACCGTTGAAGTTAATCTGTGAAAAACACGTACCATCTATTTTGAAGGGGTTTAATATTGACTCTTGATAAAAGGGTTTTTCTGAGACAATTTACCTTGTATGAGTGAGGAAGAGATTTATCTAACATAGAGAGCTCGTGGTAAAAGTCATCAGATACTCCATATGACTTCAAAAAGTACAGGATTTCATGTGTTGCATTATCTTCTGCCCTGTAAGTGGAGACATAGACAATGATGAGGGTGATAATTTCAGAGAAAGAAGAGGCAGACAATATCAAGACAAGTGAATTCTGTGAAGAGGTGGAGCTTTGTGAAAGAGGCGAAGATGTACATGCATCAGATGAAGAGACAGTTAATGGATAATCAAAAGTGATTGTTTCGCTCTGAGGCAGTCTTTTTGAAAGGAAATAGACTTCAAATTCAGATGATAGGAGTCGCCAAACTTAAATGTTTCTCGTGTTGACTCTCTCAATGATGCTAGTTTCCTTTGCTGTTGCCGTTTCAGGGGCGGATCCAGGATTTTGCAAATGGGAGGATTGAGAGAAAAAATGGCGCGCGAAACGTGCCAAAATTTTGGCCACATCCCCTTTTTGGCACTATTTTGTGGTTAAAATTACGTGAAAATCAACTTTTCTACCATTTTTGGAGCTCATTCTTTATTAATTATATTCATTAAACACAGTAATGTTGCTATATAAACTAGATAGTTAGCACTTTAACCACTGTTGCAACAATAAAAACATGAAAAATTTTTTGAGTTAGAATGTTTTGGGGGGGTTGCAACCCCACAAACCCCCCTAGATCCACCCCTGCGTTTATACACCTCAACAATTCACCTTCAATTGTTAGTAGCTGGGTTACTTTGCTACAGTCTTTCAAACTCTTTATCTTTCTCTTGTAATGCATTTCTATATGTACATATGTAATTATGATAACACTACACGTACATGATTACCTCAGAATTTCAAAGGACTCATGTTATCAACAATATCCTCTGCATTTACTTTTATCAGGGCTGATTTACTTAGCAATATCTTTCTATTTGAATTTTTTCTTACATTCATTGTGAGTTGTGCTCCTTCTATATTTAAGAGAACCAACAAGGAGTCTGAAATTTGAACTCCTGTGATGTTGCAGTTCAGCTGACTGACAGACAATAGATGTGGAAGTGCTGCTTTTCTTAACTGCATACCACTTATACTGCAACTGCGATAATACAGCTGTAATGATTGACAGCGCAGAAAAGTGCACCACTCTGATGCGGTAATACCAGAAAGGTTTTACTAATAATATGAATAATAAAAACAGCCTATTAAAGCCTGAAAGTTCTATTGTTAAGGCCAGAGTGAAACTAAGAATATATTTTTATGAATAGCAGAGATGTTTCTAAATAAAATTAAAAATTATTCATATGGTACATGCATAAATGTAAAATGGCTTCAGTTAAGTGTCCATCGAAGTGGTTTTTTCTACACTTCCATCTTCATGAATTGAGTAACCTAAGACAGAAATAGTTAAGTTAAATAATAAATATTGTGGTCCCAGTAATATCAAATCTGTCGTGCCATTTCTGGACATACCCTTTGGCAATTCCCGTTTTGGTACATTTTCCTTCCAGGAGACAGGGCACTTGCTCCGCCATTAATATGAAGACAAAAGTGTATTCACCTGAGTCCTTTGACTAATGTCTTTCATCAGAGCTAGTCTCAGTCCTTCAGGACAAGGTACGGTGGAATTACTCACTCAGTTGTCACATTGCAGCTGGACTGTGGATGATTATGACCATCTTTTTACTTCAAGAAACTATAGAATTGGTCTTCATTTACATCTAAGAATCACTCCGAGGATCATATAGGTCCTGTAATGGCTGAGCATCAAGTCACTAGCTGTTAATAGTGATGTCTAGTATGAAGTAGAATGCTACCATCATGACTTGATTTTTAATGTTAATATAAATGTCATATTATAACAGTTGTCTTTGTTCACGGCCAAATAGTTTTAAATTATCATGTATGCATTATGTATATAGTCTTTATAATAAAATATCTGTAAATGCATGAGGTGTCATGTCTACAAATGTGATGCAGTGATAAAAACAATAATAACTGTAGCAACAATGCCAATTATGTTTTTCATAAGTATGAATATTAAGTAAAACTTTCAAGGGAGGATACAAATGGAGACAAGCCACAAACGAGTCCTAAATGTGATAATTCCTCCCTGAGGGTACTGGATAGCAACACAGACTTTACATGACATGAAATGCTCCTACAGTACAACCAGTGAATTTACAGATGAAGAATGCGAGCCAGAGAGTTCTTGCACCCCTCCACTATCCATAAATGAGCCGTTTTATAGTTTTAAGATAAGAAAAGAT